CACCTACCATTCTGGCCAACATCCCTTCCGTCCTCATCCACATATTGAAACTCGCGCAGCGTCTTGATGATGTAGACATTCTTTCGGGCCCACGTAACAACTAGCTCGGATCCTTCATGAAGGCAATAGTCTAATACCTTCAACGACTTGAGAACATGGCGCCAATTTTTGCCCTTGTCGTTCAGTCGCTTATCGAGCATGTCCATAATCTCGTAGAAATCTGTCGGACTAGCCGTATCCGTCAGCCTGGATCCGGGTTATGCCGAAAGAAACTGAATCATACCTGCTGAAGGTCATGGCAGCAATCTCTGCCATTTCGGTGCCCGTCGGGCCCCAAGGGTCATTGCTCGTCGCTGAATCAGGTCAGTACGAGTAGCATAAATGAAAACGCACAGACATGTCATGACGAAAGGAGTAATAGTTGCCTCATGGCTACCCCTCCGGTCCCGATGGAGGAGAAGAGGCGAAGAGAGGGAAAGCAAGGAAAAGGAGTAATCAAGACGTACCATTTCGAACTTTGACTTGTACTGAAGAGTAACCCTTAGTTACGTTCTTCACGCTGCGGACAACTTTCGACATCTTGAATGGTGACTATGTATGAGGGTGAGTTTGGTTCTAGATATTCAACACGAGCGCGGTCTCAATTCTTGCGGGGAAACGAGGCGCCGGGATCGCGAATTGTTCGCCTTTATGTTGGTCGGGGAATGGGAACGATCTGATGTCGTATGATGAAAATTAAGCCGATATTGGGAGTGGTTTGCAGAGCGAGGTCAACTAGTTGTTCTTGAATAGCTCGTAGAGGCAGATGGCGTGGTCGTCGTCGTCTTCTCCTTAGTCCTTATCGCACGGCCCAAGCAGGACAGGCGGTGGTGTATGTAAGCCGCGTGCGGGATTCCAGTCAGTGGATGCGCCGCAATTATTATGGCGAGGCGGAGTGTCGGCGCTGGGAAAACGAGGGTAAAGGGTCAAGAAGTAGGAAGCGATTGGGTGGTAGATGAAGTTCGTCTGGTGGATATATTATTTTGGCCTCCAGCGCCTCCGGACGAAGCAGAAAGATGAACGTGGAGGAAGAGGAAGAGGAGGGAGAGGGGAGCTGGGCGGGTCGGCAAGTTTGGGCCTTTGGGTTTGGTTCCGGCAAAGATTCTGATGACGAATTGGGCGGCGGGTGGCAGTGGCCTCAGTAGGAGGGCTCTCTCTATGCAGGGCAGGATAAACAACTCTTTTCGAGAATGTTGTCAATGCGAGGAATCGGGTGCTTTTGCTTTTGAATTCTGAACAGTGTCAATGGAATAATCATTCTCGGATCAAAGAATGGTTTGGCTGATTGATTACCTTGTGAAGGTTTGCGTTTCAATCCATATAAGTACGATCGATTGCACAACAACCACAATAGGAGAACCAGAAACGAGGCAATTAATTGATTGATTGACGAACTCGAACCCTGCAGCAAAGTTGAGAGGAAAAGTGAAGGATCCAAAGAAGCAAAGACTACTGTATACACGAGGTCAAGCACTGCCCATATATCAGTTTGAAGGCAGCAGCACGGAAGTGCGGAGTAAGACCGGGCAGTGGCCAGACAGACTTATTAATATAATTGCTCGTCAGATAGAAGAGGTAAAGGCAGTGAGATTGACCTTGATTACTATCTCCATATCTACTTGATTCTCTCGTCTCTCTGGGTTCATAACTATTATTGGCGAATCCCGGATGGTCGTATACAAGCAGTGGTGTCTGGTCAATACCATCTGTGACTCTCACTGCATAACAACTTTCTATCCTGTGTTCATTCCAACTATTGTATTAAAGTTACAATGCATCAATTCCAGCATGGATACCTAATTCCAGCCACACCACAGATCCCGAAGACAAGGACATGTCGCTCCCAACTCCGAGACTGCTATACTTCTCGTGGCAAAAACGGCCGCGTACGCCTTGGACTTGGCATCAACCATCAGTCAATGCAGAACCACGAGCCATAGGTGACAGCAGTGTTTCTACCTTGGTCCAAAGGGCCCTCAACGAACAGTTTTGTTTACCATATCTACTTTGTGGCGGTGCTTCACATCGTCCCATGATCGTGAAATAAAAGAGAAGATACCCAAGGATCGCCATTTACGTCATCGTAGGCCGAGCCGGTTAAGTCCCTGGATTCTGGAACACTTCCTGAAACGTACGATGCTGGAAACCTTGGCATATGTCCATGGTAGATCTGTTTACATATCTAGGGCGATCTTGAGCCGGAGGCGAAGAGATACCAGAGGTGGAAGAAGAAACAAGTCGGAGCCGGCACTGACGTGCCTGTAGCCGTGATCAATTGTATCTATCAATTTATCATATCCGTCTAGTCATGCCACTTGTGAACAACCCTAAATTACATCTCCTCCTACGGCTGTTCCATGCTCAAATATTTGTCCTCGGCACCCTTGATGCACTGGATGTTGGCGCCCAGCTTGTTCAACGTCTCGACGTACTCATCATACGGATCCGAGTCAAAGACAATGCCACCGCCGGCTTGCAAATAGGCAACTCCATCCTTGACAAGCATCGTCCGGAGTGCGATGCACGTGTCCATTGCACCAGGCACCAGGTTCGCCCCGTCAGCACTCGAGCTATCGAATCCGAAGTAGCCCACCGCGCCCGCGTAGACTCCCCGCTTCTCGCCTTCAAGCTCAGCGATCAACTGCATCGCTCGAACCTTGGGGGCACCGGACACAGTCCCCGCAGGGAAGATGGATCGGAACGCATCGAAGCGCGTCTTGCCCGGCCGTAGAATCCCGGACACTTGCGACACAAGGTGCTGAACATGCGAGAATTTCTCCACCACCATCAACCGGTCGACCTGAGTTGTCGTAGGATCACATACCCGGTTGACATCGTTGCGGGCCAAATCAACCAGCATGACGTGCTCGGCGCGGTCTTTCAGACTGCCCCTCAACTCGGCGGCCAGAGCATCGTCCTCCTCGGGAGACTTGCCGCGTTTTACCGTTCCCGCAATGGGGTGGGTGATGATCCTGCCTTTCTCCTCCTTTGCGAGGAGCTCCGGACTCGCTCCGACAAGCTGGAATTCTTCGCAGTCGATATAGAAAAGATAAGGGGATGGATTGACGGTGCGCAAATGACGGAAGAGGTTGAAAGGATGCAAGGAAGTGGGTCGTGACAGGCGCTGCGACGGCACGGTCTGGAAGATATCTCCCTTGGAGATATGTTCCTTCAGTCTGGTCACATGCCGCTCATACCCTTCCCTACCTATGTTGGATGTGTATTCTTGGTTCGGCACGATCGGGCCCTGAGGTGGGAGTGGACATTCTGGCCTCAGCAACAAGTCAATGGTCTGCTGGAGTGTCTCTTGGCCTTTACCGTATTCCGCTTCAAGGTCCGAATCGGTGCTCGGAATAGGAATGTATGTTACGACCTTGATGACCTGAAAGAAATGGTCGAAGGCGACAATGGTCTTGAACATCATAAAAAGCGACTCGGGAATCCCCAGCACGTCCTTGAGTGGCCGAGCCGTCTTGGGCTCAAAGTATCGAACACAGTCATACCCCACATATCCGATCGCTCCTCCGGTGAGCGGTGGGAGTATCAACCCGGGGACTGTCGCAACACGAAACTGCGAAAGCTCTTTTTCAAGGATGGGGAGAGGATCGCACTCGGGGCCATGACCTGGCCCGGTCTTGAGAACTTTGTACGGTTCTGTGAAGGAACGGCACGAAGACCAGTCAGCGAAACGGCCCAGGCACTTGGGAGGTCTCAGGGAAATAACACCGTACCTGCGCCGACAAAACTATATCTTCCAATTGTCTCAGTAGTAGCAGCACTCTCATAGAGAAATGATAATTTCGATCTACTCATCGTCGAACCACCCTGTCAGCGCTCTCCGTAACACCAAACGGCCCAGACAATCCGCGACTCACTTTTCGGCAATCTTCAGGTAAGCCAACGTGGGCGTCAACAGATCGGCTGGTATACTAGCAGTCAACGGGAGCAGATTTGGGGGGTATTTTGTAGTTCTCGAGTTGTTGATCACGTCTCTGGCTGTCTCAAGCGACGGCACAATGGTAGTCTGAGTCATCGGACGGTCATTAGCAACTGGCACCGAGCGGGATCGCAAATTGGCAGAAAAGAAGACAAGTTCAAGAAAGCCAGTCTGAACGGTATATACTCACTGAGGGCGCCATCCTCTCGGAGATAATTCAGATGGGTTTGCGTGCCGGAAGGAAAAAGCTCTCTGCGGGGATTTGAAAGTGCTAATGATGGGGAAAATAATGCGCACGGAGTTAATCACGGTGCCGCCGATAGTAGGAGGTGGTTATGAAGGTGGATGTGTGATGAGTAACACGACGTATGCCAGCAACAGCACTTTTCGACGGCTGACAAAAGTCTATCAGAGGGTCAGAGAGGTGAGAAAAGATGAACTGAACCCTTTCAAAGAGTAAATAGGTCTATCCTTGCTTAAATAACAGCTTCTCAGCAGCCTCAAAAACTGGACAATAGACAGAAAGGTGCTTGGTGACCCAGAGTGGTCTAGCGTTGACGCACTGGTCTGATAGTATAGAATTATGGAGCCATGTGTTTTTGCATGGTAATAGACTAATAGATAGTAGGTAACTGGGACTCCTGACAATTCAGATACTGACCGTCTATTTTCTTACTGCACTTCACATGATCTGCCATATCTCTGATTCCCTCCCCCTTACAGCGAACTTCTTTCGTCTCTGATGAAGCTCAACTACGACTGAGTTTATCCAAGTTCGATTTTTGTCAATACTAGTCGTGTCTCTCTGCCTTCACACCGCATCCCATCTCAAGCATCGCAGGCACCTTTCTGTCTAGGTCAGCGGGCTTGATTTGGGGTATCGATCGGCTTCAAATGTCCTTGTATTCCCCTTGCGTTTTCGTACGAGAGATCTAGCAATTGGATTGGACCGACGGCAAATACGTATTCTCCTATGTACGTCTAGACAAATAGTACATGCATACAAACAGCGAATCATAATGCCATGGAGACATCACATCCGATTCCCGATCCCCACGAGCGTGATGCGTATTTGACAGTGAATCACGCCCTTAGTCCCAAGCTTGCGGGAGAGTTCCCTGCGGAAGAAATAACGCCGGTTTCAAACCGCCTGGCAAGATTGGCTTTCCTATCGGAAAATGCGCACTTTTCAGAAGAGCAAAATATTATTCTGAACGGCTGCCTCGACAGCATTGAATCCATTTTCGATCCACGCGCAGGACTGACCCAAGAAATTGCCCAATGCCGTCCCAAAAGTGTCTGCACGGAATGCGCGAAAGTCGTTGCTTCCGAAGTTCCAAGCATTCGTCATGATAGTACAGATGTTGAAACTTCCGGCACCAAAGAGGCATCTATCAAGGAGCTGACAAGCGTCCTCAGTGAAATCACCGAATTCAGTGAAGAGTTCAAGAAACGCAGAAAAGAGTCGCTGCAAATTTATGATCTTTGTCGCCGGGAAATTCGAAGAATGACACGGAGCATATCTGTACTGGAACAGGACGTGCATAAATTGTGAGCAGTACCTTGACTGGAAATTTTGTCGTACGCCCGGAATTGACCATTCTGATTCCCTTGCAGGCAGAAGGAACTCTGGGAAGAGATGGCGGAGCGTGAAGGGCTTCAAGGCACAGTTAATGGGTTGGTCGGCTGGATTGAAGCTTGGCAGGAACAGCATGATCAGGTAACCGCGTCCAGGTCGCATAAAAGTGGGCGAAGGCAATGGACGCGACGTAAGGCGGAAATATGCAACGAGGAGACCGTCGGGGCACTTCTCGAGGGTATACGCGCTTGGACGCGTGGATGGAGAGATGTCGAAGAAGCATATCGCATACGGGAAAGAGAACGCAGGTTGAGAATGAAAGGTAGACAAAGACAGCAGCTCGAAGACATCCAAGAGCACAGCACCTCAGGAACCCTCTGAGATTGGAGTTCGCGAAGACAAATTTACCTGTGTTGAAAAAGGAAAAGAATAAGCCGCGCCCAGTGCGCCAATCACCTTAGTAATGCCACATGATCCGAAGGGAAACGCTGAGCCACCATGCACCATGTAGTTCATGCTATCAGGGTATAAGTGTAAAGTAGATGATTCACGAAGGGTGAAGTTAGATACTCGTAAATTGTCGCCAGCGGTCAAGATGGAAATTATGGTAGCCAGACGTAGTTGTGCAGCGAACTGCGTGGTCGTGGGCTTCCAAAAGGGCCGTAAACAAAGCAGGCGTACCCAGTGGGAGACCACCTATCCTCACTGATTGCCGGATGTGGCAGCAAGCTCAACCTGCAATCGTCACCATTGGATCCAAGATATGCTATCATGAGCTGTATGTTCGGGTTGGAAAAGGCTTGCGGGCGTCGCGCCACGAGGTCTCTTCGCCCGTTGACAAAGGATGGTCAATTCAACGTTGTAGATTGATTAGTGCCAACTGTTTTTGACAGCTTCAGTATGTGATTGAGCAATTGACCAGAGATAAGAGACATACCTGTTTTGCGAAACCGAATGCAAGCTTCTTACCATCGGTATCCCACGAAAGGGAGCGATCTGGCAGTGACTCTACGCCCCCATTTTGTCCGTTGACAGCATGATCGGCTTCTCCTTCTGACTTTGCTTTATCGGAGCCGGGTACGGCCCAAGTAGCCATGGCGGTACCTCCTCTCTCTGCATTCCAGATAAACAATCTGTCGCGGCTGGCAGCAGCAACGGCGTAACCATCGGGTGAGAAACAGGCAGCCAGAGCTGGCATTGACTGTCCGAGGACCAGGCGATGCAGACAGATAAACCGTTTTGCTTCTAGGTCAATTTGCCAGACCTTGACTGTATCGTCGGTGGATGCGGAGGCAAGAACGACAGAATGACCAAGCTGGGCCTTTTCAGACGACTCGGGATGAGGACGCATCTCAATGGAGGTAATATCTCCTTGATGCGCGTCGTCGAGATGCATGTCGTGGGTTGGCACCCAAAATGCAGCAGTATCAGAGGATGCAGCCACTGCCACAGGGGAGGAGCCGGCGTTCGCACAGCGAACGAAGGACCAAACTCTGTCTGATTCACCCCACGAGAAAGTCTTGGCAATACGAATGCTGGAGTCCACATCGCACTGGTAAACTACGCCGTGACCGCTGGCATAGGCCTGTTTGTGCCCAAGCCAGCTAAGGTCATAGATTGAACCATCAACCACTTGAGGAGAGGGAAACTCATCTGGTCGCAACGAGTCATCCCAGATTGCCAGCTCGGAAATCTTGCTATCCGATGCTACTACAATCAAGTGGGAGCTATTGTCGGCCCAGTGAAGTCCAGTGATCATGCGTGGTACCTCTGGAAGGAGGTCAACAGCGTTTCCAGCCACATCGTACATGGTAATGGACCCTCTCATGTCGTTATAGGTGGCTACAGCAAACTTGTGGCCCTTGGGGTGCCACGCAACGGCCGAGACGCAATTGCCGTCCCCTCTGCTTTCGACCAACTTCTCCTGCACCGGACTGGAAGAGGTAGATTGTAATCTCCACAAACTGCAGAACGTATCTCCAGCTGCAAGGACAGTGGTGGGATCATTGGGACGCCACAACGTGCGCGTCACGTGATCACCTCCAGCCACATTCAGGATGGTGGTGTTGGGGCTGAGGTCAGCAGCCTTGGCGGGACTGATCTGGACACCCACGCTGTGGCCCGTTGTCAGCGTGAAGGTTGGCGCCGCGGCTGGCTCTTGCTCCTGTAGGTCTGGTCGTACATCCATGTTCACGTCACCATCGCCATCCACGTTCATTTCGGCAGGCGATGGCGACGCGGGGACAGTCGGCTTTTTTTCTGTTCCCACGCCATTAGTGTCTACATCCATAGGGACTTCATCACCGTTGACTTCTCCGCGATCGCTTTTCCGAGCTTTTTTGACAGTAGCGGGCGGTAGTTGGGGGCCACCAGCCTCGGCCGTCGGGTGACCATTACTCACGCCGCCTTCTCGCGCGGCTTTGCTTGTAGACGAGTCAGGCGCTTGGTCAGTGCCAGTACCCGCCTCTTCTGGACCAGCTTGGCCTTTTTGCGTTTCTAGCTCTAGCGACACCGGCCCGAAGAAATATTTTGAAGGTGTGAATGGTGTTGGATTCCCATCCTGTAAGAAAGATTAGAGATCTCCGACAATAAATTTTTGAGGAAGACCAAAAATAAAATATTTTAAAAGGGGTGGGATGTTTTCAACAATAGAAACTTGCCTTGTCAATGGACTGCTCCAGTTCGTAATATTGGAGTCCCTTTTGAACTAGAGATACCAGTGCATGCGTTCGAATGTAGGGAGCAAACGGCAAGCTCTGCGGATCATGGTTCCATGCGCGCTGCAGCGTCACTGCAGCTTCACCATGGCCTGGATACGAAGTTAGATCAAGATATTTGGAAATGGATTCGCCTTTGTGAGATATCTGATTTATTGGCGAGAGTGCGAAGACTAAAATGTGAACACCAACCTGATTCTTGAAGATATCTAATGCGTGTCAGTGTCCAGGCAATGTGAGAAATCCACCATCACGGTAGGATTGTGTGGCCGTAGAGAATAAGAATCCAAGGCCGGCAAGGGTGATCAGCACTTACCTCCATATCAGGTAATTTACATGATGTGACGTGAGGTCGGGATGTGCCATTGTTACATGCGAAGCAACTAGATGCAGAATCCGCTCGCATGCCAGGATTGAGAATATCCAGAGTAAAAAGGTCCTCAACTGGAGAAGAAGGAGAAGATCGAAAGATGGCGCGGTATAATGGGCTTGCGAGATTCAAGATCCGAAGGATTGACTGGGTGGGCCAGTAAAATAAAAAGAAGGTTCCTTAGGTTCCTTCGCCGATTTTCCTACCCTGTCGAACCTAAGGTGGGAGACGCGGAGTCCTTTTTTGGGGTCAAGAGGGGAGGCTCGATTGGGGACAGATGCAGCCAAGACTGTGACAAGGGAGAAATAATAATGAGGAAGAAGACGAAGGGAAATAAGAATGAGTTTCAGGAACAACGCCAATAGAAGTGATGAGGAAGGGGCTCGTGAATGAAGATGTAAGGAACCAATAGTAAGTAATGGGTACCAGATGTAGGTTCCTCCTCAACTTGTACCTAGACAAGCTAATGCGAGTGTTGGCAAAGAGCAGAGATGAAGGTAAGTGAAACTAGTCCTGTGCTTGCGTAAGAAATATTGTTTCTTCCGTTGAAGAACAATAGGAAGTAATAATGATTAATGAAAATAATAATGAATAATAACGGAAGTCATGAGACGGAACAGAATTGAGAGCAATGTGTGGCTCAAGGATTGCAGGCCCGCTAGTAGTGGACTGCAGAGGTTGGGACTGCACACTGTGGAGGAACTTCCGCCGAGAAAGAAGTTGGATCCAGATCCCAGATTGTTGCTGACTGTCCACTAAGACAAAGATTGCAAACTGCAAAAGGGTAAATGTCTTTTGTGAAGAAGAAGAGGAGGAAAAGGAAGATTGGAGAGGTATTTTGCCTGCCTAGGCGGCTCAAAGTCTGGGGACTTGCTGCTTAAAGTTTCACCTTCAGCCAGAGTCAGTGGTAAGGTCACTGGTTAGGCTAACCGCGTCCAGTCAACGACAAGATATCCAAAATTCGAGGCCAAAAGTCAAGAATCCAAAAGGCATGGAGACATGATGGGCTTGTCTCTCGTTGTGGCGTTTAGCCCACAATTCCACCATCTGGCTTAGGCTAGGATTAGACTAGCGCATAGCGTGCAGTCAGAAAACCCACCAGCCCCTTGGGACTTTACGCTTTTGGGTAGTTATCTAGCTAAGGTAACTAAGGTAGGTAAACTTCTGACGGCCAAATGATCGTCTAGGGCGTCTTCTTTTTTTATTTTTTTTATTTTTTCTGATTCTGTTGGTTTGTCCATTGGGGTCTAGGGTCAGCGCTTCCAGCCTAAACCTTTTCTTCATCTAGATACGGCTATCTATGTAAGATTCACTGCCCGCAATATATCTCCTCGATATTGCTGCTTTGTGCTGGATTTTGTGTAGATATATACTATGGAGTACTACAAGTCATATCCAAGGTACTGGGAATGATCCATTCCCTGAGGAGTGCCCTTCCAGAGTTGCTCAGCCTCATTTCGGTGCTCCTGTTGAAGCTCTGGAAAAACTTCCTCTGGGACTCCACTTGATGAGCCTGCTCAATAGATTGTAAAGCGCCGCCAGCCGTGCAGTCAGTTCTGACACAGCCAAGGTGCGGGACATGCTCACAGTTTCCGGGCCATGAAGGAAAAGCATCACGTCAATAGTACTCATCCTGAGGAAAGGCGGCTAGCTGCGAATGGTAATCGATGGGCTAGTCCTTTCGACAAGAAGTAGATGACAATGAGTTTTCGTTCCTTATATATCTCTACGACCGCAAAAGATGCCATGTATCGACCAGCAAAGGTGATGATGTAGGTCGAATCGTGGACAACATTCATCTTGCTCCGTCCACTGGTTTACGATTGATGAAAGTCTCGACAAAGACGGAACAATAAGAATATCGGCAGTTCATTCAAGATACTGTGTTATGTAGACACTTTTGCTACATGCAAGTTGACATGAGCCGAATACTTGCGTCGGTTGTGTCCTCATTGTGCGGGAACGACGATTATGACCACCTTGCAGACAAGGTGCATCTATTTCCTATCCACTCCTCGTCATAGATCATTATTCTAGATTTCACAGTTATTAAAAGCAACTGTCCGCCAATTCTCAGAGATAGAAATCAGGTTTACTCAAGCTAAATCGACTTCATCCAATCATTAAACGCGGTCCAAAGGTCCAAAAGGCGCTCAATCTTCCTGTCCGACGCGCACTTGTCTGATCGACCGCCTTTCTTGTAAAGTCCTACCTACGGTACGACGTCTCCTACATCTCTAAATTCCTTGGGCTCCCGTCAACAGCCTGCGGTCTGCGCTCTATATGAGCAGCCGTGAGTGCTCTCCTCAAGATGCCTCACCGAATTAACATTCCTCCTGCGACCCGAACTTGTCTCGTCAGCCTCGTCACGCTCTCCTTACTGTACAACATCGCCCGATGGCGACAAATCGACACGACGGGGAAAGCACCCACAGCGACACCTATTGTTCCCTACTTGACCCTCGTCCCATCGCAGTTCTTCTTTTATCCATGGACCCTACTTACGGCCACATTCGTGGAGCAGAATATCTTTACGGTACTCCTTAACGCCGCGACCCTGTTCTATGGTGGGAAATACCTGGAGCGCGCTTGGGGTTCCAGAGAGTTCGCGAAATTTATCGTCATTATCGCAGTCGTTCCCAACGTGGTGGTAGCCCTGGTATACCTACTATGGGCTGCCATAGGGGCGAGCTCAGTGAGCGGGTACGAGATCTTCTCCCAGCACGACTGCATAACCTCTTGCGCTCTATCTGCTGACTCCCATTTCTAAGCCTAACGCAAATATGTGGTGGCATTTCGATTCAGTCGTCCTTCCTCGTCGCCTTCAAACAACTTGTTCCCGAGCATACGGTCACGATCTTCAAAGGCCTGGTGAAGATGCGCGTGAAACATTTCCCCGCCCTGTTTCTGTTGCTCAATACAATTAGCGGGTTGGTTTTCGGGACACAAGTCGCAGCGCTCCTCGCGTGGCTAGGCCTGCTGGCCAGCTGGTCCTACCTGCGATTCTACAAGCGGCAGCCAGACCTCACGGGCACGTCGACAGACGGACAAGGAATCAAGGGTGATGCAAGCGAGACTTTCGCGTTCGCTTGCCTCTTTCCCGACGTTATGCAGCCGCCGATTGCATTTGTCTCTGATCAGATCTATATGATCCTGGTGGCACTCAAAATTTGCACGCCGTTCTCAGCGGAAGACATTGCATCCGGCAACCAGCAAGTCCTCGCCAGAGGTGAGGCCGGTCTGCCCAGCCTGCTCAGCAACCAAAGAGGTGGAGGCATGCGTGGTATAGGAAAGCGTGAAGAGGCTGAACGAAGACGGGCGCTGGCACTCAAAGCGTTGGACCAGAGACTCCAAGCCGCCGCCGCAGGAAGAGCTCAACCCCAGTCTACATTGAATCAGGCCGGTCCCAGCCACACTCACCCTGCGACCCCGACTGTCTCGACGGGACAGAGTATGCTGGGGGAAACGAGCTACACGCCTGATCATGCGTGAACCCTACATTCGTTGTTTTGCATGACCAATCTGGAGATTCCAAACTCCCATGGGATATTGATAACTCAAATTGGGGACAACTGAGCTTTTATTATTCTCAACCATCTACACCGTCATAAACGCTGGCTTCTGCAATTTCCCCTACGTAGTGAAGCCAGATTTTCACTGGAGGGACTAAAATGCTTTCTTCGAAGCTACCGGGACCTCCCGTACTATGTTCTTGTTTATGTTGTCACTTGTGGTGATGAAATCTGCTCAGATGATATGATGTATATGGCGTGAAGCTGATATGCAAACTAAGGTAGTTTACGAGTCAAGAGTCGTGAAATCTCCTTCATCCGCATATTCAAGTATCCCAAGCATTCCCAAGACGATCTTGTAAAACAGTTTTCCCAAAACTACAGTATCAGAAATAAAAAAGAAAGGCTATGTTACAATTGATCATGCCGATGTCGTTTTCCCACCGTCAGAACCCATCTCAAAAACAGAGCTATGTACCCAGAGACCTCAGAATGCGAAGAAAACATTCTCCAAAGCAAAACCCCAAAGAACTGTATCTTACAACTGCCTCAATTTCTCCACCTCGCCTCTCGCCTCCTGTAACATTCGCTCTTGGTCCTTCTTCGCCTGCCGGATAGCACTCACCCGCGCGCGGTCCTTATCTGACTGCTGACGCATCTTCTCAAGCTTCTTCAGCTCAGCCTCCTCATCGGCAGTCGCCTGCAGCTCCTCCGCCCCCGTCATCATCTTGACCTTATTCCAGATCTCCTTGTAATCGAGGTTCTTGAGGTCAACGACGGCCGTCTTCTCTGTCTCTGATGGCGCAGGGGCGTACTTGTCCTGAACCTGGGAGGCGTTCAGCGCTGCGGCTTTGCTGGCTTGCTCGGCAAAGTATATCGTTAACGCGGCGGGCCCTTCCTGCTCATCTGTTTGCTTGACGGTCATCCGGATTCCCGGATTATAGTACTTGAGTCGGGGCAGGCAATTGCGCCAGAAATGTCGTGCGCCTTGATGGCCACCGTAGATCTTGCGGGCGTATGTGAGGTGCAGTCGGGTGATGGCTGGGAATTCTGTGGTTGCTTTTGAGGCAGCTGGGAGGATTGCAGCACCCGTCCCAACGCGGACGTTGAGGATCTGTGCGATTGAATTGAGTTAGCGAATGGTATATTCGATCCAAGGTGGGTTTGTTGTATTGAAGGGGACGCAGCTGAGGCTAGAATTGAAACCAGCTCGCGATACGAAGGACAGCGGAATGTGTGCATTTAGGGAAATGTAGCGGATCATACCCTCTAGAGATTCTAGGTTAGCAAAATGGTTCAATGAGCAGACAGAGTGAGGTAGCCCGGACAACGTACAGTCTTCAACTTCCGCATCCGCTTGAACAGATTCACCATCTTGAGAGTTGTGAGAGAGCACAAGGACCAGGTCCTTGTGACAGGTGGGAAGGAAAAGAGAAATTGACAAGACCACTGATAAATTAACAATCAACTCTCAACGACTACTCCGTACCAGCGGGGACAGAAGGGCAGTTCTGGCTCAAAGCTTAACTTCAATTTCTGGAAACACGGCGGAAAGAAAACGCTCCAATATATACTCACGTGACTTTTATAGATAGCCTACGGTGTTTGGACTCCGTGCTGTCTTGTTAGAATGGGTAGTCATTAAGAAAATCTCAGGTAGTAGAAGGAGTTTCCAACTTGTAGATCTCAATTGACACATCAATTCATCCTTGTTCCTTGCTATCCTCGAGGCGTCTCTGCTTTGGACTCAGCCTCGTTCACAGAGAAGTTATATCGGTGACTCAACCTCAGCTTTTCCAAGTCTATCCGTAACTTGCATTAGCATTTTTCGAATAAACTGCACAAGAACATCCGTCTGATTCATACTACTATATCGCTGTTACCGAACAGCTAGCATCAATCTGAGCTGATGTTCTGACCTCCGAATTCCACCAAAAGCAGACAGATGGCACGTGCGCCATAAATACAGCTACTGTCACCGCCATTACATACACCGTTTTGACTCACAAATGGCCGGCAAGAATTTCGTTCGATAGAGCCAAACCCCGCGGTGGATATATAGTGATTGACCTCCACAACCACGCCTCAGGGCTCTCCCATTTCTGTTTGCATTACAGCAGACTTCAATATTGAGAGCCATGGCAGCCGCTGCTGCATCCGCTGCTGCGCTCGACCCGGGCAACAGCACCAAGAATACTCTTAAACTCGAAAACGTTCGTGCAATCTATTACCCCTCCCCCTCATTGAGCATTTCCCTGTGCATTTACAGCTAATTGCTCCTTGTCGATCTAGACCGAGAAGAGAGACACTCTTGTCGCCATCGAGAAGAAATACCAGGCACAATGGAAAGAGAAGAAAGTGTTCGAGATCGATGCCCCGTCTCTCTCGGAGGTCCCTGCCAGCACCATGTCTGCCGCAGAGCTTCGGGAGAAGTACCCAAAGTTCTTCGGAACCATGGCATATCCCTATATGAACGGTACTCTTCACGCTGGTCACAGTTTCACGGCCAGTAAAATCGAATTCATGACCGGCGTTGCCCGCATGGAGGGTAAGAGGGCTCTTTTCCCTCTCGGATTCCACTGCACGGGTATGCCTATCAAGGCCTGCGCAGACAAGCTTGCCGACGAAGTCCAGAAGTTCGGCAAGAACTTTGAGCGCTACAGCGAAGAGAGCGAGGAGCAGGACCCCACTGCAGTTGCAGCGCCTACGCAGGAAGTCAGGGCTGAGCAAGAGAAGTTCTCCGGAAAGAAGAGTAAGGCCGCTGCGAAGACCGTGAAGATGAAGTATCAGTTTCAAATCATGTTGGCCATCGGCTTGCCTCTTGAGGAGATCCACAAGTTCGCCGATGCTAACCATTGGCTTCAACACTTCCCACCCCTTGCCATTCGCGACCTCGACAGCCTCGGTGCTAGAGTGGATTGGCGCAGAGAGTTCGTCACGACCGACGCCAATCCTTACTACGACTCTTTTGTGCGCTGGCAGATGAATCGCCTCCACGAGCTTGGCAAGATCCTATACGGCAACCGCTATACTATCTATTCGCCGAAGGATGGCCAGCCTTGCATGGACCATGACCGCACGGAGGGTGAGGGAATTGGTCCGCAGGAATACACCGCGATGAAGTTGCAGGTGAAGGAGTGGGCCCCAGAAATTTCTGAGCTGGTCAAGGGAAAGATTGAGGATGATGCCAAGGTTTACTTCGTGCCTGCCACTCTGCGTCCAGAGACAATGTACGGACAGACTTGCTGCTTCCTTGGTCCCAAGATCAAGTACGGAATTTTCAAGGTCAAGGAAAAGGAATACTACGTCGTGACCAAGAGAGCGGCCTGGAACATGGCATTCCAGGGAATTTTCTTCGACAGCGAACACTTCCCCAAGACGCAGGACCAGCTGCCACTCATCCTAGAAGCGCCTGGTTCCGCCTTTGTGGGTACCCTTGTTAACGCCCCACTGTCGTTCCACACCGAGGGTGTGCGCATTCTGCCTATGGAGGGTGTCTCTGCCACCAAGGGTACCGGCGTCGTTACGTCAGTCCCCTCTGACAGCCCAGACGACTACGCTACTTTGATCGACCTTGCAAAGAAGCCAGAATACTATGGTATCAAGAAGGAATGGGCCGAGCTGGAGATCTTCCCTCTTATTGAGACCCCGACATACGGTAACCTCACCGCCCCTACGCTTGTCAAGAAGCTCAAGATCAACTCTCCCAAGGATGTCAACCAGCTTGCACAGGCCAAGGAGCTGGCGTACGGCGAAGCCTACTACAAGGGTACTATGTTGGTTGGTGAATTCAAGGGCGAGCCAGTGAGCGCCGCTAAAGAGAAAATCCGCAAGTCCCTCTACGACAGCGGAGATGCCTTCCCTTTTGCTGATCCTATGGGTAAGGTTGTTAGCAGAAGTGGAGATGACTGTGTCGTTGCCTACCTTGGTCAGTGGTTCTTGAACTATGGTGAGAACGACGCGGAGTGGCAGCAGGAAACCTTGAAATATGTCGCCAACGACCTCAACACGTACCTGCCCGAGACCAAGCACGGTTTCGAGAAGAACCTATCGTGGCTGAATCGATGGGCCTGTGCGAGAACCTATGGTCTGGGATCCAAGCTCCCATGGGACCCTAAATTCCTCGTTGAGAGTTTGAGTGACAGTACGGTCTACATGGCTTACTATACCGTTGCTCACTACCTGCATGGCGACCGCTATGGTACCACGCCCGGTCGGCTAAACATCAAGCCGGAGCAGATGACTGATGAGGTCTGGGACTACATCTTCACGAGACGTKAGCTTAGCGACGAGCTCGTCGCAAAGAGCGGTATCAGCAAGGATGCACTGCTGAAGATGCGTAGAGAGTTCGAGTACTGGTACCCTCTGGATGTGAGAGTTTCCGGCAAGGACCTCATTCAAAACCATTTGACTTTCTTCCTCTACAATCACATCGCGCTCTTCCCACGGGAATACTGGCCCCGCGGTGTCCGTGCAAACGGACACTTACTCCTGAACGGAGACAAGATGAGCAAGAGCACGGGCAACTTCCTTACGCTTAGAGATGCTGTTGACAAGTTCGGTGCTGACGCCTCTCGTATTGCATTCGCCGATGCTGGTGATGGAATCGAAGACGCCAACTTCGACGAGAATGTCGCAAACAGCAATATTCTCAGACTCTTCACGCTCAAGGAGTGGATTGAGGAGACTGTCAAGGACAACTCCCTGCGCAMAGATCCAGAATACTCGTTCTGGGACAAGCTGTTCGATAATGAGATGAACAGCCTGGTTCGCGAGGCCATCAAGCACTACAAAAAGTGAGTTTCTGATGATCCTATATGTTACACTTCCAATCGCTAAACCCATCTCAGCACCGATTTCAAGCTCGCCCTGAAATCCGCTCTCTTTGACTTGACCAACGCTCGTGACGTCTACCGTGAGGCCGCAGTTTCCGCTGGTGTCGGAATGCACCGTGATGTGGTCCTGCGCTATGTTGAGCTCCAGGCTCTGATGATCGCTCCCATTGCGCCTCATTGGGCTGAATACATCTGGCTCGAGGTTCTGAACAAGGTTTGTACCTCTGAGAATCAAATGACCTTAAGGTGTCGTGACTAATTTTGTACCTCTTAGCCTGAGACAATCCATTATGCTCGCTTCCCGGACGTCCCCGAGCCGTCCGTTGAGCTTTCGGCCGCCCTGAACTATGTTCGTTCCACCTCTTCGAGTATCACATCGGCTGAGGCTGGATTCGTTAAGAAGCTTTCCAAGGGCAAGACGATGTTTTTCGACCCTCGCAAGCCCAAGAAGCTTACCATCTACGCCGCGAAGAAGTACCCTGCCTGGCAGGAGAAGTACATCGACCTTGTGCGGGAAGCATTCGATGCTGTCAGCCTCTCTATTGACGACAAGGAGCTGAACGCCAAGGTTGGCAAGCTCGGTGAGATGAAGAAGGCTATGCCTTTCGTTCAGACCCTGAAGACCCGCTTGATCAAGGCCAAGGAGGCTCCCGAGAACGTTTTCTCGCGGAAGCTTCCCTTCGATGAATTTGTTGTTCTGAAGGAGATGCTTGGTAACCTGAAGCGGACGACTGGCTGCAAGGAGATTGAGGTCATTGCTGTTGATGAAGGTGGCAAGACCGGTGAGGTGCTGGGTACTGGTGAGAAGAGAGAAGGTCTGTCGGCTGAAAACGCGGTTCCTGGTCAGCCCACCTTCGGCTTTACCAATATCGCTGAGTAGACATGGGTGCATTATCCTTCTACTGTTATATTTGCCTTCGATTAGACATAGGCCGAGCTTCTATAGGCGGTTTCACGATCAAAATACAAATATTAACGATTTTCCTGCGAGTTCAAAATCATTCCATTTTTTTTTCAGAGCGACAAAATCTAGACCACCAGCCTGTATGAGACAGGAAAGGGACGAAATCAACAAAAATGTACCAGTACGCCTCCAAACAATGATTTGCTGGGACAGCATGTAGGGCATAACTTGAACCTAGGTAGTCTATGTACATCGAGTTTTAGTGTATCTGATATCGTACAGAATGGAGAGCAATGAATTCCGACCATGCCCTCTATGCCCATGAACACCAATCGCTATGCTATACTATACAAAACCGCCAAGCTGGCTTCGTATCATCCACAAAGCCAGACTCGGGTTGAACAGACACATACCATACTAATTATCGGGACTGCTGCGCTCGCCTTTTCAGACCAACGTTCTGTCGTCCGCGGGAAGGCCTCTTGCGCTTATCAGCAGCGCGCTTCTCGGCGATGAAATTCCAACATTCGATCGGAGGCCGTGATCCGATATGCTGCCCGTTGGGACTGAAGACCTCAACTCGAGGCATTGAACTCGGGTACTCCGATTCCTCCGATTCCTCCGATTTTGAACCGGATCGAATCTGCACGGTAAGCTCCACCCATCCGCAGCCTTCAATCAGGATGTCCGCCGACATCACTTTGTACGGAAGTCGAGGTACTGGTATACCATGGTCTTCTACCGCCTTAGCGATGGAGGTCGGCAGGTGCGAGTGAGTCACGTCCCACTTCAACTCGAAAATCCCGGCAGATGAAATCGAAGCAGTGGCTTCCTCTCTCATAATCTGCTCGCCGGGATAAGGACGCAGACCAGCCTGCATCTCCACGGCCTTCTCTGTTTTGGTAACGTGGGCTTCGATGGGAACGAAACAGGCCGCCATCAGAACATGGTCGGGGTTTTCAGCCGTTATTCGGACGAGACCTCCTCCGAGAAGCAGGGATTGCCCGGGTTTAATCGTGAGCCGCTCAGGCTTCTTCCGTTTCGTCATAGTGAGATCGCGTTTGTGCTCGTCACGAACGTGGTTCAGTAGTTGACCGCGGTCGAGTCCAGGCAGGTCGATCATTTCACCTTTACCGTGGCCGAACGGGATGCGGATAGGCGAGACAGTGGTACCTGGCACAGACGAGACAACGGGAAGGACAGGGTAGAGGTCTTCGCGAGGCGCCGGCGGCAATAGGCTGTCGGAACCCAAAGAGACATCGTTGAATTGGTTAATATCCGACCCTGCCGCCCGGCGTTCAACCAGTTCGGCAATCTTCTCCAGGTTCCTGGAATCCTTGGGGAAACAGGCTTCGATGAAGCTGCTTTTTCCGACATTGGTCTTGCCAACTACCCAAATACCTCCTCCATGCTCTCTGATATCCTCCTTCACCTGTTTAGTCCACCAGCCTCGATGAGCACTAATCATATGTACATTGCCCAACCGGAATTGTTCAGAGGACAGTTTCAATGCGTCTCGGAGAACCGATCGCACGTACTCCATCTTCGAGTCAACCTGTTCCTTAGTCGCGGCTAATAGATCGGAGCGCGTTATGACGAACGATATAGTTGGTAACTTCCTCCCCCATCGGTATTGCTCTGTCGAGGCTCTTCGATTTCGTGAGCGTGGTTCTTGGATAGACAAGGCATCGTAAATATTGTCGACAAGGGACATTGGAAAATCTGCTGCGTCAATGACGTGGTAAATACGGTTATCCCTGTGAGGCGACTCTTTCAAATATTCCTGGATTGAATAAATAGTAGGTGTAGGTACGGAAACAGCTTTACTGTGGTGAATTAAGTTGTGACACCTGTCGCACACCTGCGCGGGCGCTCTCGATTTCTCCAAAAAATCGCTGGCAGTTGTGGTCGCTTCCTCGAGCATCGCTCCATCTGTGATAAAAGAAGTTCATCAGTGCCGCCTTGGTCAACCGAGGGGAATCCCAACGTACGCTTAGCTTTTGGAATAGGTACTTCGGAATCGACTAGCTTGAGTATTGTGCTCGCTGCTTTCTCCGCTTCACTCCTCAAGTCAGTCTCTTCTTCAGCACCTCCAGGCTTGTCGTTTGCCGCTCGTTGTGACTCTGATACAAGCTTCCGAACATGTTTCCTAGTCTTGCCGTAGTATCCGGGCTCGCTCGGCTCGACGGTTTGCGCGTAGGCGCCACATCCTGGGCAACAGACAGGCAGTACATCTTCAACAGGTCTGGATGGCCCCGGGTATGACTGAGTGGTAGTTGATAGATTGCGTAACTGGCTTCTGTTTAGAAGCCGACTCGGTTGACAATTGCCAAAGAGCTTCACATGCGCGAAAAGTTTCTGCGGCGGTGATAATAGGGACAGGCGAAGGCTCTGAGCTGGTCGCCTTGACGGTATCTGACGAAATCCAACGGCTCTGAAGTAAGTGCACTTTAAACAGTGCGACATTATGGTTATAATTGTCAAAAGCACATGTAGCAAAAATGCAGGAGACGATCTCCATATGCGATAGATAGATAAGCGTCGGCGGCCGCCCAGATCTCCGGAAAAAAGTTTATTGTGGCAAACAGATTGTTTAGACGTAGAACTACAGTACAAGCGCAGGTATATAGCACCGAAACTATGATAAGAAGAGGATTACGAGCATACTATTCCGTAAATTCTGAATTCTGAAGTTCAGCAAAAACTACAAACACTCCAAAGAAAAACACGCTTGCAAATCCCTGATCGTAATAAACAAGATAAATTCGAAGAAACAGTCGCAATTGATCATTGTATAATCAAGCCTTCGCTTTTCCTTTGCCCTTCGGATCGTCAATTTGCTCAGTTCCTTCGTCTTCAGAATCACTCATGAACTCATCGTCATCATCAAATCCAATGAACTTCCTGGTTGGCACTGACTTGACAGCCGGTTCTGACGGCATGGATACATCCCCCGCGTCTTGTTCCTCATCGCTGTCTTCCTCTGAGCTGCTCGGATTGTCCTGTCCACTACCCTCACTACCACTGGCACTGGTGCTAGATCCGCCCAGGATCGCGTCGCGTAAGTTATCCGTCCATACTCCGTCCCTCATTGCTGCCAACACAGCCTCCCTGGCCTTTTCGTTCATTTCCTCCTTGTCCTCCATCCACTGTCCATCGATCTTCTGCTTTCCGCCACCGTTCTTCAATTCCTCCTGGCGCTTTTCTGCGGCCTCCACAACAGCCTGCCACCGGCGCCGACGCTCTTCCTTTTCTTTTCGATCCATCTCCGGTTTGACTGCGAGGTATTCGGCCAGAGCCTTGGCTTCGTTGACCGTGCGAATACGGCGACCGTCAAGGTTGCGACTGGAGCCATTGTCATCGCCCTGATTGCGCTTCCGCTTGCTCGACATACGTCCACCAGCCGCACGAAGCTGGGAACCGAAACCACCTTTGCCTCCGCGCAGGGGAACAGTCAGCCGGAGGGGGAGGAGATTCGACGTTGTTGCAACCTCGCCATTGGAGGCGCCAAATAGAGAAAGTAAACGTTCACATGATGGAACAAGTTGCTTGTTACTCGTTGTGGTCAAGACAAGGGACTGAAGCGGTATCGACGACGGTAAGTATGCGGAGACTTTATCGGTAAGATCAGAGATTGTCGACGTGGATGGGAGAGCAAATGAGACAGTCGAAGGTAGGGAAAGTCCTGGGAAGGATGAAAGGAGCACGTTCACTGTTTGTGCTGCCATACTGATCGTTGGGTATCTGACTGCCACTAAAATTAGTCTATTTAATATTTATTGCGGCTAGTCAATGCCGTTAGAGACGAGACTGCGCGGCCAAGTGTTCGAGATGTAAAGTGTCAGTGAGTTGACGTAGAGGCGGCGAGGCGTTGAAGGTTGTCAAAAGTGGAGTTGAAGATAAGGGAGGATGACTAAGATGCGGTGACTGTTGCCTGAGGCTGAAGAACTTATGTCGTATGATCATGTGATATTCTGCATATCCGGCTAGCGCGCGGATCAGGGCCACAACCCTAACAGGCGTTCCCGAACAGGAAGCGTCGCACTTTTAACCTGGGCTGCCGCTCCACTTGATCACTTCCATCATATAAACCATTCTCCTCGCGTTGTCAGAGCGATTCCCCGAATAGCGCCTGGAACTCGCGACAATGTAAGTGCTACGTTTAGCTTCATGGCTTTCATACATTGATTTCGCATTTGTACTAATGTAACTGCAGGCTTATCCCCAAGGAAGACCGCAAGAAGATCCACGAGTACCTCTTCCGCGGTATGTTACCGTCGACTCCCAATCGTGCGGCTTTCGCAGCGCAGATTGGTTCGCTCAATTGACAACGAACTCTCACTGACTTGGTGCTTCTTGTTGAACAGAGGGTGTGCTCGTGGCCAAGAAGGACTTCAACCTTCCCAAGCATGGCGACATTGACACCAAGAACCTCTACGTGAGTCGACCCCATAACCGCCTGAGGAAAGTCGAAGTTGAACGATTACGTCTGACACGTGTGTTTCTTCTACTATAGGTGATCAAGGCCTGCCAGTCCCTGAACTCCCGCGGCTATATCAAGACCCAGTTCTCGTGGCAGTACTACTACTACACCCTCACCCCTGAGGTACGTTTACTGTCAACCAACCAGTGATTTGAGCCGGATCTGATTTTTTTTCCTTGTAGGGTCTTGACTACCTCCGCGAGTGGCTCCACCTTCCCGCCGAGGTTGTTCCCGCTACCCACATCAAGCAGCAGCGTTCTCACGCTCCCCCTCGCGGCATGATGGGTGGTGAGGAGCGCGAGCGTCGCCCCCGTGCTCCCCGTGAGGGTGGCCGTGAGGGTGGCTACCGTCGCCGTGAGCAGGAGCCCAAGGAGGGTGGCGCCCCCGGCGAGTTCGCCCCCAGCTTCCGCGGTGGCTTCGGCCGTGGCCGTGGTGCCCCCTCTTCTTAAAGGAAGGTTGTTCGTCTCTCGGTCATCCAAGGGTTGACGGATGCTGCAAGTGTGGCTTGAGTAGGCTCTAAAAGCCAGAAAAAGCCGCACCCCCTGCTCATCCTATGATAAAAGTAGAACTACTCTTTCTATCTGGGGAATGAGGATTATGTACTGCCAATGCCTCTTGTTACGAACTAGCTAGGATTAATGGCAAAATCATCATGACTCAGCCCGATCAATCTGTGTTACTCGTAGATTTGTTGGTTTCTGACGGTAGGATGCCAGCATTTGAATTTGCGCATGGGAAGTGCTCAATGGAGCCTGCCTTGCTTTTGTCGATATGACACCTGGTCGGAGAGAACAATATAAACGGTTTGATTTCTTGATATCTTATGACAAGCACGAGTCCTATGCAGAGAATCTCCTTCTGTCATACCGGATTACTGCCTGCAGAATGACTGATGCGCCTGTGGCACAGTCGTCCGCAGAGCAAAACTCCTCGGGATGATGGCTCAAACCGTCCTTGCACGGCACAAAAATCATACTTGTGGGAACTCGTTTGGAGGTGAAAACACTGTCATGCCCTGCACCGCTCATGATAGTCCGCACAAGAGACTTGGGATCAGAGACACCAGCGTCGGCAACGACGGCTTCTGCTGATTGTTGAACACATTCAATGCAGTCCGGGTGGAATTTCACCGCTGGGGAGTCGAAATCCATGGTCCACTCCACTCGGCATGGCTTCCCAATACCCTTACCTTCCTCGGCAGCAATTGCATCGAACTCCTTTCTCAATTCTGCTTCCACCACAGCGACTAATTCGGTCTCTGGCCCGCGAATGTCGAGGGAGAAGCTTACAAGCCCTGGCACGGTGTTGACACTACCAGGCTTCGCTTCGATAATACCAACACTTGCCAAACAACCGTGGAAAGACGCAACTTCCCTAGCGCGAACCATCATGCGGGCAAAAGCGTATAGGGCATCTGCCCGGTGCTGGAAGGCTGTAGTACCAGTATGAGTGTCTCTACCGATGATGTTCAGGCGGTACCAGCGGTATGCCTGGACGGCAGTGACTACACCGACACGCTGGTTGGCAGACTCGAGATGGGGTCCCTGTTCGATGTGAAGTTCAAAGTGCGCTGCCATTGGCGTCTCTTTGTATGAGCATGGGGCACTCCCAAGGTAGTTGATCTTTTCCAGGGCGGATTTCATCGACTCAGGAGAGGAGGCTGCGGTAGGTAGTGAAGCCACCGTGGGAACTTCCTTGAGGTCATGGGCCCTCGAAAGAGGTATGCATTCCGCCCACACGCCGGAAGAAATCATGCTAACTGGGAATCGAGCACCCTCCTCGCTGTGGAAATGTTACTATACTGTCTGCGGCAGGAATCTGCGCACGTCATCTGCAGAACGGTTCTTACTTTGTCCAGTTGACAACTCCTATGCCTCCCTCTGTCTCGATTCCCATCTCGTCAATGACCTTCAAAGCTTCAATGCCCGCAAGAACTCCGAGAATCCCGTCATATCGACCTCCAGTCGGCTGAGTGTCCAGATGGCTGCCGATGAACGTGGCAGGCACATCCTTTCGACGCCCCGGGCGTACAGCGAAGATATTCCCCATCTCGTCAATGGTGATACTGCACCTCAGTGCCTTTGCAGTTTCGATGAACCAATCCCTCACTCTCTTGTCCTCCTCGGACAGGGCGAGACGCTGCATACCGGTATCTGTCGGTCCACTAAGCCAGACATCGGTTAGCACTGCCCGGTTGAACTACACATGGGAACAGTGTATCATCGCGGAGCTTCATTGTTTGCTCGCCAAGATTACGAACAGCACCGGCCCAGCTTAGGAAAGAATGCAGGATGCCATGCTTACTCTCCCCATCGGATACCATAGCCCCATTGACAACTGTGATGAAGATCTTTCGCAAGACGGTCCTTGTTTGCGCGTAAAGCCGTGACTTGCGCTTCGCTCAGTTCTGTGGATAACATGGCTTGGCTCCTTGAGATCGAGAAAGACCGTTGAAATCGTATGAACGCAGATTTAACGGGATGTGATGGTACTCCTCGGCTGAAAGGAAGTCGGAGAGCTGGTGAAGCTGCAAACCTAGAACTCCACGCAAGTGCCATGGCGCCTTTCAACAAGGAACGACGACAATTTATCTACGAGTCCTTGGTATGCAGAACGGCCGCTTGATGGGGAAGCCGTGCGGAGAAAGCAGAGATAAGATGACCGCTCGGTGGGGTAAGGCCTATCAACGCGGGTCTCTGGGATCTCATCGAGTTTAATAGTCGTCAATTGGGTGGTCAAGCCGTTAGAAGTGGACTTTTGCCGTTCATGGGGACAGGCGCCTTCTCCAACTTGGAAGATTTGGGGTAGCTGCGCAACCTATGGAGGGGACTGGGAACCTGCCTCGTTTGGAGTAGTGAGATAACCTCTCAATCTTTGATAATGTACGAAAAACTGGCTTGAGCATACACTCATGACTTTCGCTTCGGTACAGCTTTTCGACATGCCAAGTCATGATGATCTTGAAAAGCAAGCGTCAAGAGTTGCGCGTAGCGATCATTGACAAAGGCGGAGTAGGAGCACTCGCCCGGAAGCGGCACTATAGCCACGGGCTTACCAGTAAAAGGACACGCACTCTATATCGTTCCTGCAATTGTTTTAGGCATACTCTGGGCTAGAATCCTGTTAAAAAAAAAGGACACAGCAATCTAAGAAGGCATTAACAATACTGGACAAAAATAAAAGTAACAAAATCGACAGCTATGTCGATTGAAAGGTCCAAAGATTGAGAAGAGGAGTATGTTGGGCAAGCCACGGCCATCTCTGGTAAAAGGCAAGAAATGGGTTCTGAGCTAGCTTGTCCCACTCCTCGGAGAAGTCTCCTGAATTTAAAATATAACCTACTTCCTGCCACAGAAAGGGTCTCCGTTCGAATCCGGCTCTCGTCGCCCTCCTCTTCTCTTTCTGGTTCTTTTGACGTCGCGTACCCCGCATTCAACCCACCTGCCCGCATCTTGAACAGTTCATTGACTTCACGACTGATTATTGTCTGCTCTCAATCGGTACTTCAGTTATTTACGTGTATAGCCATCTAATTGATCCACACTTTGTCTAAATAATGTCTTCCGCTGCGTGTATATTCTGCAAAATCATCAAGGGTGAGTCCTATCTCCTGCCGCCGACCTTCCAGTGAGGTGTTGCGTGTCCAACTTTCGCCAGAAAAGCTGGCGATAACGCCGTACGCGCTCCTGCTTGATGGCGCTAAGCTTCCTTGTGAAACATAGGTGATATCCCTTCTTTCAAGCTCTTCGAGAGTGACAAGGTCTTCGCTTTCCTTGACATCCAGCCTCTCAGCCGTGGCCATGCGGTAAGTTTTGGCGCCTTTACGTTGGACTGCAGCATAACCTGCCCGAGATATCCGTCCTATACCCAGGCATAGGATATTTCATGTAGCCGCTTTGTACACATCTTGGCGGGTCCACGCTATTAATGTTGAGAGAAGCATAAGTCCGCTAACAGTAGTGCTGAATTGTCTGTAATAGCTCGTGATTCCCAAGTTCCACGGTGCAAAGCTCACCGATATCCCTGACGACGTCCTCAGGGAAGTGCTGGTACGTGAAGAAAGAAAGAAGACGCAAGCAGAATTTCGTGTCACCCGCCCTTCTATACCCTTTGCACATCTCTGAGGACCTTGGGGGATAAGGTCCACGGACTCTGAACTTTGTCCCCCGCAGGTTACAGAGTCCCTACCTAATCCTATTCTCATTAGGAGAAGGCTGACAGGTGTTATCTCCAATAGCCCGTGGCCAAGCAGATTGCCAAAGCAAGCGGTGCAGAAGATTACAACATTCTGCAGAACAACGGCCGCATTGCTCACCAAGTTGTTGACCATGTAAGAGACGGTTCCTGGACGTGTAAAATGAAAAAACGGCGCTAACCCTTACTGTTCTATTTGATTAGGTCCATTTCCATATGGTACGTCTTAGCATTTCTCCTGGTTTACGTAGCAATGGTGCTAACACGCAGATTGACAGATTCCCAAGCCAAATGAGACGGAGGGTCTTGGTATTGGATGGCCTGCACAATCTGCCGACATGGATAAACTCAAGGCTCTGCATGAGGAAATCAAGTCCAAGATGTAAACCAACACTTTCACTCCAAAAGTTCACACCTTGGCTCAACACGAAGTTAGCGTTGGCCCTTCAGTTCCTGTCAAGCATTGACTGTGTCATTACCAAGGCCTATTTCAATTTCATCCCTTACATCATTCAGTACGAAAGTCAAGACAGTGTATGCGGAATTGATGCATTAGTCCAGACTGCGATGCTCTATATATATAAACAGTCGTCCAGAACAGACATCATGACTCATTTTTTGAGCCCGTCGATGTCCAAAAGGTAATGATAAGTCAGGTCTATGGTACTGTCTCATCAACTCTTAACATTCCTGTTTATTGGCTGCTGGCCGCGTTTCCCTTGGACATGCTCTCCGCTGAATAGAAGTCGATTTTGCCATTACCTTGGATCACATTCAAGCGATCGTACAGGGACCTGGCACGTACGTAAGGGTCAAGCTGCCAGTATTGCGCCCTTAACCGCTCAATAAGGTCCTTTCTCCTGTCTTTAGCTGTTGCCACGGCGTCCTTGTCTCCTTTGGAGCTGGCCAAGATCCATGAAATGGTGGCGTCTTGGATTTCTTTCCCGAGTTCACGTCGCTCTGCTAACAGCTGGTCTCGTGTGGCTGTATCTTCCATCGGCTTATTTTCGTCCGGTTCGCATTCCACGTACTTGTACTCCCAATTCTCATCACCCTCAAGCTCCTTCATGATGCGATCTCGAGGAATGAACTCCTCCAGATCCTTGACATTCTTAGTAAAATGGACCTTGCCAGCAACGACCGGATCAAGCCATCCTTTGATGATGTTCCAGATGCCTGTGCAGAATAATTTCAGTACATACGGCTTCCAATTTAGGGACGAAGACAAACCTGAGAAGATCCAAGGCGCCTTGTGAATGAGCACCGCTCCTAGCGATTCAGGATAGTTGGCCTCGAAGCATTTGATCATGAACTTGACCGGAGAGTAGTCCTGCCGAGGTAAGTGAACGTCCATGGCAGATTGAAGATCGTGGGCATACCATATTCGCCAATGAGAAGTCGGTCATATCGAAAATGATACACTAGAATGTGTCAGGTGCATCTCGGCGGCTTTTGTCTGGGCTTTGAGACTCACAGCAGTTTCGACGGGAGGCGCAAGCATCATGCGCGCCGATTCAATTGTGTAAACAGTGAAGCGGTCCAAGACCTCTGAACTTTGATCACCAGCCTTATGCAGGCGCACCCTGACGACGCAAATTGGCCGGCCTGATTTGTCGACACCGTGGAGGAAACTCTTTCCCCGACGCATTTGCATCAAGAAATCTTCACCAGCTTTCTTTTCAGTAGGGTCGGTACTCTGCGACTGTTTGAGAGCATGCTGCTCGCCATTCTTCATGATATCGTCATCCACCTTCACATCCATCAACCTCCAGCGGATAGTGGAAATAAACATGACGAGAGCGTTTTTGACATCCCACTTGCGCGCCCGTAGAAAGCGTAAAAGCAGAGAATCGGGATTATCTTGTTTAACCATAGTCCAGAATGTTGTCCGGATCTCCTCCGGCGACATGTCAACCAGAGTTTGCTGGAACTCCTTCGACTGTCCATACTTATCGTCTCCATCAGAAATATTGATAGACGCGAGGTTGGTTGTGATTCCTTCCGCAGATTTCTCGCTCGCGGCGCCATCTTCACTGTCCTTGCCTCTACCGAACAGTCCGAATCGTCGCTTGGGCTCTTTCTTGTTCTCCTGCGGCGTGCTGGCCGGTGCTTCCTTAGCTGACTCCAGCGCATCAAGTTTAACGCCAAAGACCTTCAGGAGCAGCACCCAAAATTCCTGCAGTTTCGCTTCCTGCTCTGCCGTGAGATTCCCCACGGTTCCAGGAGGCAAATTGGTAGGCATTGTTTTAAGAGTGTCAATTACGCCGAGAAACGGTTCCTGTTCAGGCTGGATATTCTGCGAAGTTGATGGAGCAGGCGAGTCGTCCTTGGGATGATAGCGTTTATCCTGTAACCAAACTCCTCCGCAAATGACAGCAAGAGCGAATGTAACTGTCCAAAATGATGAAGCCTTCCTCAGAGGGCTGTTCCGCGATGACGCTACAGTGAAGGTTGATCGTCTAGCTAAGGAGACTGAAGCTGAACAAGGCTTAGATGCGCCTCCAATCGGTAATAATGGCAGGGAGTATGAGCGGAAATGGACGGAGTTGGCCGAAGGAAGGAGTAGACGGCGTCGAATAGACGAACAAGCATGCATGTGCTGAGAGATTAATAACGAGAGGCTAGGGTGGGGTCTGTTGTGAAGACTGTGATGTTGTTGGTTGTTCCTATCCTCATTTCATGCCAGACGGGGCAAGCGCACACGAGGATGGGAAATTTGACAATTATTATTAGTAGTACTAAATAGTAGTGGTTCTACCTTGGCAACCCCGAACGATTTATATCATCATTGCTTTGTGGATAATGAATGCCGCAACGGACCCTCGGGGCGCCTCAATTTCCGATCCAATCGCAAACTGGAAAGCGGGGGATCAACAATGCGGCACCCACTCTTTAATTAACGAGGCAAAAGCCAGAAACACTCGATATGTAAATACTACCGAGGTGATTTGGGTCTCCAACAAATTCATTTCCATAGTGATCATTTACAAACCATGATTGATATTCTTTGCTGAGCTGCCCAACTATCTTGCTGCCTAGGCCTAATTCATCACGCGTTGTGATTGTTTATCGTTGGCCCCGGAACAACAAAGGCTTCGTACTCAGACTTCTGGTCAGGTTTCCTCGAACGTCGGGAAACCGTGAGAATCGAATCTATGATGGAAACTGCTCTTCCCCGGTCATCCTCGCGCCCGCGACCTTCGTCCAGGCCCACGACTCCTCTGAGGCCCAATTCTCGATCGTCAATCCGCGAAGCCCATGGTTATGGGACGAGGATCAGCAATGCTAGCTACACACAACCCGCAATCAATGCTCTCGAGCCGCAGTTTGCAGAACTTGCAGATTCTATGGCAGACCTTGAAGCGAATTTCATGCACCTTCAGTTGATGCACGAGAGTTTAACACGTTTTAGCGAGAGCTTTGCCAGCTTCCTCTATGGTTTAAATATGAATGCGTTCTGTGTGGACTTCCCGGAGGTACGTCAGGATGAGCCTTCCTCCCAATTAGATCCTTGCTCACTAAGAATTAGGCACCAATAGCAGATTCATTCCGGAGAGCTAAACAAGCTGAAGCTCAAAAAGGTATTGTAAAGCATGTATTCGACAAAATTAACACGACCAAATATACTCACTAAGATTGCAGAGGCTGAAGCTGAAGAAGTTCGACGAGCTGTTGATGCTGAGGCAACATTCATGTGAGTTATTCCTAAGTCATAGCAGCATTGCGCATTGGAGGTTTATTCTGACCACGACCCGGGGCCACAGGACGACAGATACCTCGTTCGTTGAGAATCCTCCTAGCACGATCTCCTCAAAGCCCACATCCAAATCCTCCATCCCTTCTCGAGGAGCTACTCGGGGGTCTTCGACACGCGGGTCGACACGCGGTCGCTATACAACAAGAGGGACTAATCGGGCTCGGCCCAGCGCATTGCCTCGAGGTAGAGGTGTTCGGTGAGCGCTCTTCTGGGAATAACAGTTATACAACCGGATATCCCAGTACACAACTGTGCTCATGCGGACTTTTCCCATAATTCAAGATAAGGAATATTGACAGCACTGTCGAGAACTGGAGATCAAGAAGCAGAGGTCTGACGGAGACGCGCTGGACCGGTTCAATGGTGGAGGCACAGCTATACCAGATCAATCAGAGCGTCACAAAGTGCCTGGGCTGCTTCGCTAGCATACGTCTGCCTCGATTCGAACCGTAGCCCTTCTCTTTTCATGGGCTACTGTTGTTGAGATGGATTTCTAACTTGCGTTGCCACCTGAAGCCAGATTAGTGACATTCAATGCGAAATGAAACTATCTCTATAAAGTCAAGGCCTACGCAATTCTTAGATTTTATTTCACGAGCGCAATATGAGACGTTACAAGTAGACCTTACTTTTAGATATCTCCCCAAAAAGGCGGCGTATTCCCCGGGATTGCGGATCCCCAGCAGTAGGCCCGGTTCCTTATCGCTCCGAGCGGCGGACCCTGAGGAGAAAAGATCTCTTAACCAACATCGAGCCGTCTACAAAGCTTCTGTGGCGTCACATAGTTTCGGCTCAATAATCTTGAGGAAACACATATCATTTTAACAAAGTTAGTCATCTGCAGTTCAAGCTTCACTTTTTATCAAGTGTTGCTGCTGGTTCATTTATTCGCTCCTCAGGTCGCTTCAGTGCCAATCCGATCCGCACGGAACACTGAGTGGTAGCAGGGGAGAGTGAGGTTCACCACAGCCGTCAATAGACTAGACCTTGGGCAACACAACGCTGAAGATTTCTATTGTCGATTGAGAGGCTGGCCTCTGAAAGCTTCACAATGCGATTGTGAACCCATACAAGGTCTTTCACGACTTCTATTCATGAATGCTTTGCATTCATCCGCACTTAACTTGAGCTTATTGTCCTTCCTCGGCCTCAAGAGTCAAGGTATCTGTTGGTAGACGCCTTTCCCAGTCGTCTTATATATTCTGAAGCTTTTCCTTTCAGACTCTCAAGTCTTCTTTAATTCTTCTAATACCCTGTCATCTCGATCTTTTCTTTCTACAACATCCTTGGAACAGCTTCTCCTCGTCACCATGGCTAGCATTAGTTCCGCGTCCCTTCTCTCGGAGGCTGAGTTCGGTTGCGGTAAGCAGGCATCATCACGATACCGTCCTCTCTATAGATCTTCAAACTGACTTTTAGTAAGAGCATCTCGCCGCAATACTGACTCAGAGTGGAAACACTGCCGATCAGTTCAAGAGCTCATTCCTTAAAACTCACAATGCTCTGGCTCCTAGGCCATTACCTCTGTTTCCTAAGCCTTTAACGGTGGATGATTTTCCGAAGCAAAAGGGAGGCCTGCGTACTGCTTCTCTGCTAAGGCCAAAATACACGTGCTTGACTTGCTCTGAAGTGTGCGCCCCTGCCGATAGACAAGCTCATGCGAAAGAGACTGGGCATCAGTTCTGTAAGTCAATCTAGGGCGACTCTACTGTAGAAGGTAGCTGACACCGCCAGACATGGAGTCAAGAGGACGTACTCTGTTCTGCCAAGGTTGCGGTGACCTCGTCTATGACCATGACTTGGAACGTCTTCGATCGTTACCTTATGGAATGCACCAAGGTTCGCATCCTGTCTATGTTGATTTCGTTCAACCTGTTAAAGTCCAGCAGCATCTAGGAGACGGAGATCAAGCGAAAGTTCTTCTGATGAACAGTTTGTCAGAAACAACGCCAACAAGCGCGCTTGTGCAAAGCAAGGCGTCAGAGGTCTGTACAATCTCGGACAAACATGTTATCTCAACGTCATCCTGCAGACCTTACTGCATGATCCCATCCTGAATGCCTATTTCTTGGGGAATGGCCATCAGTCACACGATTGTTCTGTCCCGGATTGCGTAGGCTGCGCAGTTGCAGAGGCGTTTGCCGACTTCAACAGCAGCGACAAAGCAGAAGGATTTGCAGCATTGAATCTCCTTCTAGCATCATGGCGTGCGAGTCCTGTAGGTGGCTTCTTGACCGGCTCTTGGGACATTAAAAGTTGCTGACGCTTCGTAGACTTTGGCAGGTTACCACCAGCAGGACGCACACGAGTACTACCAATTCCTCGTCGACAAGCTACATGCGAGCACTGAAGGACACGTGGATGATCACGACCAAGGGTGTCCTTGCTTTTTTCACCAAACATTTTATGGCAAGCTTAAAAGTAGTGTGATGTGCGATAATTGCGGCAACATTACAAAAACGGAAGATCCTATGCTCGATCTGAGTCTGGATGTTCAGGTACAGGCGAAGAAACGGGCCATGGGCGGTGGTGTCGGGCCCTCAACGACACCTACGCTAAATGGTTGCCTGGAGAGCTTTACGTCGCCAGAAAGGCTGATGGCAGGTGTTTACAATTGCAGTGAGTGTGGAGGTACGCCTCAGAAAGCAACAAAGCGTTTGCGAATCAAGAAATTGCCGGCGATTCTCTGCATGCAGCTGAAGGTGTGTCTCTCGTCTCTGACGACCGTGGTGGACCTGGCTAACATGATATTCAGCGCTTCGAGCATAGCTCAGCAGTGTCGGAGAAAGTGGAAGGCAGAGTCGATTTCCCTTTGTCGATCAACATGCTCCCATATACGACACATCGGCACAGGGAGGATCTTGACAAATCCAAATTCATCTATGATCTTTCTTCTGCAGTTGTCCACAAAGGCAAATTGGACGCTGGACACTACTACGTCTATTGCAAGCAGGGCGACCAGGTTTGTCTACCCGTTATTTAGTGGCTTATGCCTCGTGTGTGCTCTCAGGAGACAAGGCATGGCATTGTTGACATGACTAATTCTTCTCTCGACAGTGGGTACTGTTCAACGATGATCAGGTCACTGCGGCCACCGAGGCTGAAGTCCTCAACGCCGATGCCTATCTCTTGTTTTACAATCTACGATTGTTTACTGCTTCTTTGCAGTAGCTGGTTGCATTGCCTCGGTACCCTTCAATCTTCAATAGAGAGGCAACCATCTTTGTTTTCCCCCTCCTGGCTCTAGCAGACAGGAGTTCATGGCACCGGAGTTCAATTCGCGGGTCTTATTTGAATTCCAATCGGGAGGGCCTCAACGTTATCTGTATTTGATTGCGTCTCTCACTAGGCAGGTAATTAGAATACCGTGCTAAAATGCTTGTGCAAGACATGGCTCGGTGATTGCTAGAATTTGATTCCAGCAGTTTTCTCACCATACGTTGGACGTTGTGTTTTGAAAACGCTCAGTTGCAATAGCAGATAATCTGTGTCTCTACAAAGAGCAACATTGGTGACCGCACGGTCAAGACCCGGAATCTTTGCTACGCGATGGGTTATGTTTCTCGAGTCATAAGAGTGTAAAAGTGAAGTGAACGATGCCGCACCGGAGGGCTAGACGAAAGGAAAATTTCATACTGTTACAACCGGCCGCTACGTCCGTATGTAGCCTTACTAGAAATGGTCGTCTACAGGTGGTATTGACCCAATTGCAGTCGAATTCGTCACATTCACCACACTGTTTCGCTATGGCGGGCTCGAGGTGTCGGTAAAGGTGGAAAGGACGGGAGAAAGATCCTCATGAATTCAATTTGAATATTGAATTGGAAAGATAAAAGGTT